AATTTCTCTCAGCCCAAATACGACCCCCCTCCTGGCGACCTAATACGACCCCCCCTATTGGGGATTCCCCAACAACGATGTGCCCTGTGCGGGAATGCTTCCGTTCCGCTAAATGTCTGTTCTTTACTAGTTTGGTGAACCCTCACGTCACTACTGTTTTGAATTAGCTGAAAAATTCACGGTTACCTCAGTTTTTGGTTATGAGTAAAGGGGGTTTTCTCAAATAGGCAAAGAGGGTAACCCAACGGCTTACCTGTTCGAAACGGGGATCACCGTACCGCCAAGCAACCCTTTTGTGCACAAAGAATTTGGTTTATCCACTCGGCGCTGCTTTCCTTCTGGACTCATACAGTAACCCCCATCTTTTCACGGTAACCCTAGTTTTGCGCTAGAGATCTCTCGAATGCCCCTTGGCCGACTAGTTGAAGCTATTGCGGTAGAACCGAGCTGAAAGTGCAGTGAAGAGTTAGCATAGTGCCCAGAGTCGATCTCAGACTGAGTCATCTATCATCCAGGTCAGCTAATCCACTCGAGAACTGAAGGTCCCTGAAAATGAAGCCGTTACTTATACGCACATTAGCTCTGCTGAGAGCATCTACAAATTCGTTTAGAAACCGAATGCGTGGCGCATACTGAGAAACTCTATGTAAAATTTTTGACTCATGATTTTTATAGCTTCAATTATCCTTCAAAACTTTTCAGTATCCGAATCCGACGAGCCGTTCTCGAAGCAACGCAACGATCGCGAAGTGATTTCCACACAGCTTTCGCTGATTTTGAGGAATGGCTTGACCGAATGGGCGATAGTGTCGGCGAATTGGAGACACTGACCGCAAACACACAATCGCTAAAGGATACCGCTAAGCGGCGCGAGTGGATTCAACAGCATAAGGTAAAATTAAGAATCCACAATGAACAAAAAGGTCATCTTCTTGAGTCAAGGTTTTGCCTATACATCCTCCTGATCACGAAGAAAACAATCAAAAAAAGAAGAGAAAATAGAGTAGATTTTCTCGGTTAGATATCTACAAGAATGTATCAGCTTCAGGTAGCTATCCCAAGGGGCATTAGAAACTGTAGGTATGGTTCTTTGAACTGGATAGAGTGGTTTTTAGTTCAGGCAGAAAATAAGGAAATATCGTTACAAGATGTGATTATGAACAGGAGCGTTCAGGACTTTTGAAAGGACCGTAGTTGCTTTTTTCTTAACTGATCTGATGTTCTTTTTTCTATTTTCTCGAAATTTCAGTCGCTGAATAGCCGAACTGTAATGCTCATTGAAGAAGTGGCTGAAGCAGTGGACCGAAGAAATGGGGCGAAACTCGGCGCTGGGACTGCGAGTCCGGAAATAAGATCGCACCTGAGGTTCAAGTCTCGCCTCGATGGGGGCAGTGGCCAGCGATGGAAGGATGTGCGACAGGCCGAAGCACTCGTCAAGTTCGTGACTTATTTAATTATTTATTTATTTATGATTACACTCAAGGCGTACCATTGACAAAAAAAGAATACTCAGGGTGTTAACAAACGAGAGTAAAAAATATACTTGACGGATGTACTTTTGGAGCGCTTGCCTACCTTACTTCGAAGTTCAGAAGACGTAGTTTATGCAGGCGGAGAGATCGCCGTAGAGGGGTGGGCATGGAAGCAGCCGAAAAGGCTGCGTTTATACTTTGCGGCAGCGTAGCGCTTCCAGCGTACGCCAGCGGCAGTGCCGAAGAGAGGATGCATATCGATCTAGCTTCACCAGCGTCACCAGCGGCACGCTGGCGTACGCTAGCGTACGCCAGCGGCACGCTAAGCGACAGCTGGCGTGGCGAGGCCACGAGGAAAGTCATAGCTATCGATCTAGGCTTCACCGGAGCGTTTTTCCGCAGCGCTTCAGCTGAAGGGGCTGTAAGAGCCACCCGGCTAGGAGACCGCAGCACTGGACGGAGGAGAGTACAAAGTACTCTCCTCCGTTCAGTGCTCTCTAGCCCCTCTCTAGCCCCGTCGCTGCAAGCGCTAGCGGGGCTAGAGAGCACTGAACGGAGGAGAGAGACTTTGTGCTGCTCCTCACGTCCAATGCTACTCTAAGGCCCCTCTCTAAGCCCAGTCCGCTGGAAGCGCTGGGAAAACGCTGGAGAAACGCTGGTGAAGCTAGATCGATAGCTATGCTTCCCGTGCCCTCGCTACGCCAGCGTGCGCTAGCGTGCCGCTAGCGCACGCTAGCGTAACGCAGCAGTGAGACGCTGGTGAAGCTAGATCGATATGCATCCTCTCTTCGGCACTGCCGCTGGCGTACGCTGGAAGCGCTACGCTACGCTGCGCTACGCTACGCTACGCTGCCGCAAAGTATAAACGCAGCCAAAAGTGTTGGTGTCATATAGGTTCTGAAACACAAATAGCCGCAGCTGAAGGGTTTTGGTGTTGTATTTTTGCAGCTCGCAGCTGCAAAACGTTACCGATTAGGCGGAGCTGGGACGTAAAATAATGGCCTTCTCCGATGATCCATCACCTGCGCCCCTTTTCAAATCTTAGAGGTGAGTGCCATGAGGGTGGCAATGCTCAGCTTGGCTTCGCCTGGGAGCTTTGTAGGGATGCGCGTTAACTGTTAGTCATTAGCGGGGGGGGGGGGGAGAGGGTGAAAGCACGTTTGGGTGCGAGTTTTTGGCGGATTTTGAGTTTTGGTGCGGCTGCCTGTGGGGCATGCGTCAAGTGTCTTAGAGTCAAAAGGATGCTATGCCTATGGCCACACGGTCAAACCACCCTCACAGAGGAAGGTCACCATTTAAGACGAGAATATACCGCTATATCCGCCTTGAGGCCCTGGTTTCAAATTTGGCCCCCGAATCTGCTAATGACTCTAGGATCGGAGTGATGAAGGATTTTCATGGTGCTCCACACAAAAAGGTCGAGGGATTGAATCCATACCAAATTCGATCTTTTGCTTTTTGCGGGGGCGTGGCTGAAAACCCTTTCTTTCTTTGCCACCACACCGTCGCTATTCGCCTGCAGGAGAGATTGCGAACAGGTCCTCAAAGGAAAGCTGTGGCATGCCGCCGCTAGCGATCTCCACCTTGCCTGATAGGCGCATTTTTATAGCCAAAGTCACCTCCGGGGATAAATTTGATTGGAATCTGGCCTTTTTTTCGCAAAGCAGCGTAGTAGGACTGCCTAGTACTTTTTTGTCACGTCAAGAGGAAGCAGAATAGATTTACTACCTATTATGGCATGCTTCTATAGGTGCTACCAATGAAACCTACTACTTTCATGATCATTTTCAATCCTAAGCTAATCCATATATCGATTTTTCAGGGAATCCAAATACGTGAAGCAGTCACAAACGCCCACTCCTTCCTTATGCAACACGACCTTCGTCCCAAACTCCATCGACCGGGAGTGTTGGCCGAAGATGACGAAGACGGTAAGTGCTCAGTAAATATGATGTTCAGACAAGAATTGTACCATTAGAATTGAGAGATTCTCTTCAGAGCGGAAAGACGCCGAGCAACGTCGTTGCGGTTTGCAAATTCATGTGGATTGTGAGAAACTGAAGGAGAAATGGGCCGAGCTTGGAGTTCAATTTGCCGATTGGGATCGTGCAATACACGCGGCTGCATTGCGTCTACAGGAATTGGAACGGGCATTGGCTGAATGCCAGCTGCATCTGAGGTACTTCATGACTTTCTTGTGGTTGACGTTATGGTTGAAATACGAGATCAGTGGTGTTGTTTTGGTTTACCACTTCCTAGAAGTTTGTCAAAAATCATACGATTGCGAGTTCCCGACTCATTCCACGTTAATCGGATAGGTGGAGCTTCGTAACCACTTTCCTTCCTTATAAAGTCGACATGGTATAGAAGAGAGGCGCGCTGATGATGAGGGCCGCTGATAATGAGCTTGTGCCCACCCGATCATCGCGGAATGTGTCTTTAAGGCCGTGTTCATGCTTCAATACACGTACGATTTTTGAATCGCGTAGCTGCTGCCGACCGCGCTTCATCGCTAATCGAGTTGGAACGATCGAAACGTTTCCTCTCCTCAGTGTGATTCTATCAAAGGCAACGTCGGTCCAGCAACTTGCAAAGGAGTGCAGTCGGTCGCAGTCGCGCGACTTGAGAAGTGTAAACACGGCCGAAGGAGTTGATGAGTAAAATTTCTCATAAGAATGGGAGGAAAACATGTCATTCTCCTCCAAGAAACTGGTTCCTTTTGAATTCATTTCCAGCCCGATGGTTCATTAAAAGCGTTATTCAAGTGAAATGATACGAATAGATTTCAGCGCGGTGGAGTCAGAGATGGAGCAGCTGCGACCTGTTGAGCGATTACGGCTTGAAGAACTGAAAGACGCACGACGTCATTGTGAATCGTTGGCGAATCGCGTTGCCGATCTACGGATTCATGTCGACGACGCAAATGATGCATGTGGACGAGTTCTAGCCGCCGACACCCCGCTTGATCAGCACCCACGGAATCAACTCGATTCCGTCAATGAACGGTGAGTGATTCTGCTTACCGTAACTGCTGACCAGAGTGGAATTCTTTTTTCCGGATTTCGGAAATGTTTTATTTTTCAGTTTTTTTTTCTATTTTGGATTTCACAATTAGTGACAACTGTGGACCAATGATCGCGCATCGCCAGAATTAGATGCCTATTGATCTTCCAGCTCGCTCGCGATTGTTCATGACGCGAACTATGAACGCTGCTCAGTACTAATCATCTTGACAATTGCTGGTCTAATGCGCCATGCACTTCATTTCCATTTGAAATTCC